ACTACTAGGCCCCCACCTCCAACCAAAGTTCCAGAACCATGCCCTACCCTTCCACCAAAAACCGAAAAACCAACTACTAAACCCCCACCTCCAACCAAAGCTCCAGAACCATGTCCGACCCTTCCACCTAGAACCGAAAAACCAACTACTAAGCCCCCACCTCCAACCAAAGCCCCAGAACCTTGTCCGACGCCTCCGCCTAGAACGGAAAAACCAACTACTAAACCACCACCTCCAACAAAAGTCCCGGAACCTTGTCCCACCAATCCACCAAAGAAGGAAAGGCCTACAATTCCCCAGCCACCCCCAACCAAGGTCCCGAAACCATGGGAGAAACCTCCTATCCAACAAAAGCCTGTACTCCCCCCCAAGCAAGAAAAACCTACATTGCCTTCAACACCATCGCCTGTTAAACCAGGAAGAATTCCAAAACCATGCCCTTTAATACCCCCAGTACAACAAAAGCCAACTGTTGGGCCAACTAAAGGTCCTGAGACGACTCCAATACTTCCATCTAAAAAGGGAAAGCCAATAATAACAACACCACGTCCAACCAAAGCTCCAGAACCTTGTCCGACTCTTCCATCGAAAATAGAAAAACCTACCACTAAATCCCCACCTCCAACCAAAGCTCCAGAACCATGTCCGACTCTTCCACCTAGAACGGAAAAACCAACTACTAGGCCCCCACCTCCAACCAAAGCTCCAGAACCTTGCCCGACCCTTCCACCTAGAACCGAAAAACCGACTACTAAGCCCCCACCTCCAACCAAAGCTCCAGAACCTTGCCCGACCCTTCCACCTAGAACCGAAAAACCAAGTACTAAGCCCCCCCCTCCAAGTAAAGCTCCAGAACCTTGCCCGACTCTTCCGCCTAAAAAGGAGAAACCAGTGCCTTCATGGCAACCTGGATCACGCCCCCCAGCTCATTGGCCTCAAGTTCCAGTTTCTAAACCAACTTGGGTGTTACCAGGCCAAACATCAAATGCCCACCCGACGTCGCAACCTGTACATGATGTAGCGACTGTTCCCCCTCATCCAACATTCGTTGGAAATGGAGTGGTACCTCTTAACTGTGCAAACGGTGAAGTTTTCCCCGCCAATACTGGTAACTGCGATCAGTACTTCATGTGTTACTTCGGAAAGGGTGTGTTGATGAATTGTCCAGCTGGTCTAGCTTTCAACGAAGAAACCAAAAGCTGTGATTGGGCAGTAAATGTCCCATCCTGCAATCCTCGTGGTAAGTTTAATTATTATATATAAATTTATCAACAATCTAATGATGTAGTGGATACTCTCTAGAGTAGGATGATGTGGGTTCAATTCCCACCACCGCAAAAGTTTGGTATGATGAACATTCTGTTTATCTGGTATTTGGGTCACCTAAACCTATCACATGTATTTTTTTTAAAACGTGCATTGATAATAAATGATTATTGATTGTGTTGATTGGAGATGCTGCATTTCGATCTGAAATACTGAATTCAGGCACCAGTTTTGTGGACCATAAATTAACAAAAATTATGTATTCCCCGTATAATTTTATTATTAATCATTTAATCTGTAATTAAATTATAGTTGTTCGTATCAATGAAACTAAAATATTAATGTTTTGCAGCATTTGAAGGCTTCACATGTCCAAATGAAAGTTATGGCTATGACAATGACCACATATTCAAATACAGGTGAGTAATTTCATTAGTTTTTTTGAATTGTAACTAAATGATTTCAAAACTCTGCTAGATATTTTAGAGATTTATACTCAAACTACGAATAGGAACCTAAAATTCAAGATGGTGTTTTTTAATTGTAATAAGGTGTTTAAAAATAACAAAAAAAATACAAATATAACACTACTACTAATAGAACGTGTTAATCATTGTACAACGTTCCGGACATGCAATACCACAAAATGAATAAAATATCAAGTTTTTTTTATTCTTATTACATTGGCAACCTCTCTCTCAACTCTACCTCATTTGAAATACGTGCAGGTACGGTGAAAGCTGCAGACAATACGTTGTTTGCCACAAGGGAAGGCCTCGTCTCCTCAGCTGCGACGCAGGATTATTCTTCGATGATGCTTCTCATACCTGTATTGACGCCCAATACGTAGAAAATTGTAAAGATATTTTATATTAAGGCTGTAAAAGCTTACTATTAAGTTCACTACCTACTAGAAATGTTATGTTAGTATTTATTGATAGACGTTCTTTAATTTATTCTTTTTTATAAACGTAATAATAAAATTCCGTTTTTTTAGAATAAATATTTATGCTTGTATTTTTAATACTATAGTTCTAATTACGCTTTACATTTGTCACTTTAAATGGAACGTATCCTATTTAATAAATGTCTTTGTGTAATTTATTAAAACTTGTCATTTGATTTCTTCCCTTGATTTATGTTCCCTCCAGATATATAAAAAAAACTAAAGGTGCTGTCTGCCACCTGTGGTCATTTAATAATAATTCCCGACGTTTCGAACTCTTTCCAGTGTTCATGGACACGGGCAGTATATAATATGTCTTATTTGACTGAGTTGTTACACGTCTTGATGTCAAATTTAACCCTGGCTACCGTCATTTATTTTTCGATTCCGAAGTAGTAGTAGTAGTGGTAGTTATTATTAAATTTTGGGGATATTTATTTGTTTTCTCGTCTGGTTGGGTTTGGGGATAAATAATAAACATATAGATATATATTGCATATATAAAATAAATATTATGAATAAAAATAAACATACAAATATAAATATTATATATAATACATAAATAAATTAATTATTAAATTAATTATTATAAGATCATCGTTGCTTACTCCTGAATGACATATAATATAATTGTTCATGTAGGCATGTAAATAATATTCTTGAAAAACAATTCTAGAGGCCTGCCAAAAATAGTAGCGCTTCTTAGCAATACAATTTACAAAAAATGTACAAACGCAAACCTACATATACATAGGAAATACAATAAAACACAGTTTCCTTGTTACATTCAATAAGTGATGGTACATTTCTTTTGATATCTTAGTATTTTTGTGTTGACGCTTTATAATCCCGTCGCTGCAAGAAACAAAAATTAATAATATTGACATTTTATGTATTACTGAACATTGGCTCTTGGATTATCAATTTATGTTTAACTTCAGATGTCACCAGGTTGCTAGCCTGTTCAGCAGAGAAAAAGCTATACGTGGTGGCTCTCTAATACTTATCAATAATGCTGTGAAATTTAAAAACCGTAAAGATATTGTGAGCCTCTCTGTTGAGCAGACTATTGAAATAGCCTGTGCAGAGCTTGAGCATTTCATTGTTGTATGCGTATACAAACCTCCTAGTGCGTTATATGAATCATTCGAAAATAGATTGGAAGAAATATTATTGAAATTATCTGAATCTAATAAATTTATCATTGTCTGTGGTGACTTTAACATAAATCTTCTAGAAAATTCTACCACCACTATTAGATTCAGATCATTGTTAAATTCATATAACCTTTCTAACCTATTTTATGAACCAACTAGAATCACTACTTCTTCGGCAACTTGTATAGACAATATATTTACAAATTATGAACCAATCGATAAGTCAATTATTAATATGTCTGAATTTAACATATTAATAATTGACTTATCGACCATTGCGGACAACTTGCAATTTTTAAATTATATGAAAAAAGTAGTGATGATAAATTACAAAAAATAATGTTTGTTCCTGCAAATAGAACTCGTATTGAGAAGTTTAGAAGTAATATAAAAAAAAGCTGACATATTTACCTTATAATGACAGTCCAGATGCGCTTTACAACACATTATTTAAATTAATTAAAACTGAATTTAATGCTATATTTACTTCTAAGACAGTCAATCGTAAAAGCTCTGCAGTTTTCAATGATTGGGCAACAGTCGGAATTCATAAGAGTAGGCGTAGACTGTATGAACTGTATAATGAAAGGACATTCAATCACAGTAATTCTTTTGTAGCTTATGTTAGCGCCTATTCTAAAATATTTAAAAAAGTTTGTTATCTGGCTAAATCAATATTTATTAAAAATAAAATAAAAAGCGCATCTGATAAAATCAAAATGACGTGGAATATAATAAATAGTGAAACGGGTAGACTTACGAAGCGCAACTCTGACTTAACCTTAACTGATGGTATTAATACTATTCAATCTAATCAGGAGGTTGCCAATTTTTTCGAGAAATTTTTTGCTGACATTCCTGTTTCTACAACTAAGTCACTTCTCTCTTCTCCGACAATTGCCGAATCATTACTTAAGAAAAATGTTATGGAATGTAAAGAAAACTTTAAGTTTACTACTGTTAATAAGAACGATATCATAAAAACATTCAAATCTCTAGATATTAAAAGAACTGCTGATCTATGGGGGATCTCTGTCAAGGTGATCAGTTCTATAATTGATGTAGTCTCACCTTACTTAGCAACTATTTTTTAATATTTGTATTCAACGTGGCGAGTTTCCTGACCTTATGAAACATAGTAAGATTATTCCGGTGTTCAAATCTGGTAGTACTTCTGACCCCAGCAATTTTAGACCTATTTCAGTACTACCGACTCTTAGTAAAATTTTTGAAAAAATTATTTTGAATCAAATGTTACTCCATTTTAGTACACATAAATTGCTGCATAACAAGCAATATGGATTTACTAGGGGTCGCTCAACAACAGATGCGGGTATCCAGCTTGTGAAGAATATTTTTGAAGCCTGGGAAGAGTCACAGGATGCCTTAGGTATATTCTGTGACTTAACCAAAGCATTTGATTGTGTACAGCATGACACTCTGGTCAGGAAACTACACCACTATGGTATAAGAGATGCCGCACTCAATCTTCTGACATCGTACTTGAGCTATCGTGTTCAGAGAGTTGACGTGAATGGCAAGAGATCTCCCGGGGCCCTGGTAAGTATGGGGGTTCCACAGGGATCTATTCTGGGGCCTTTTCTCTTCCTCATCTACATAAATGACCTGCCCTATCTTGTAAATAATGATCATGAGATAGTATTGTTTGCTGATGATACTTCTTTAATTTTTAAAGTTAAACGACATTCTTCAAATTATGACGACGTTAACAATACTCTCTCCACTGTAGTGCATTGGTTTAGTGCTAATAACTTAATGTTGAATAGTAAAAAAACGAAATGTATTAAATTTACAACTCCCAACGTAAAAAGTGTAAAAACTGATGTACTTTTACATGGGGAAGCGTTAGACCTCATTGACTCGACTGTATTTCTTGGCATAACCGTAGATGCCAAATTGCAGTGGGGCCCCCATATTAATAAACTGTCGAGTAGACTTAGCTCAGCAGTCTTTGCAGTCAAAAAAATTAGACAGTTGACTGATGTGGATACGGCTCGTCTGGTATATTTTAGCTATTTCCACAGTATAATGTCTTATGGCATTCTACTTTGGGGAAATTCAGCCGACATAAATACTATTTTCATCCTGCAAAAGAGAGCTATTCGAGCGGTTTATAACCTGGGCCCCAAAGACTCACTAAGAAACCTGTTTAAAGAAATAAAAATATTGACTGTAGCTTCTCAGTACATACTTGCTAATGTTTTTTTTTTTTTTGCGATGTATGTCCACAAAAAATACCGCCGCCCAGAATGAGGACTTTTCAAAAAATTTAGTAATGTGCATGATGTAAATACTAGGAACAAGCATAAATTAGTTCTACCCTCAACTAGATTGCGTAGAATAAGTAAATCTTTTATGGGACAATGTATACGCTTTTACAACAAAATCCCAGAAAACGTTCAAAATGAATCCGTTGCTAAATTCAAAAAACTTGTAAAGGAACGTTTGTGTGTTAATGGCTATTATAGTATTAGTGATTATATGAATGATAACACACTCTGGAAATGAATTGATCGCTCCAGGCTCTTTCAAGTGGAGTTTAATAGGAGTTTAATAATTGTACACATATTTGTAATTTTTTTGGCAAGTAAAAAAAAAATAATGTCCCGCTGAGTTTCTTACGCCGGTTCTTCTCAGGTCAGTGGCTTACCTTCCGAACCGGTGGTAGAGTTTTTTGACTATCAATAAGTAAGTGAATGCTTCTATATTGAATAAAGATATTTGACTTTGACTTTGACTTTGAATGAATGAAAAATTTTAAATACATCCATTTAAAAGCTCAACTAAAAACTCAAATAAAGAACAATAGGAAATGTTAACAGATCACAAGTCGATGTCCTAAAGTCTCAATACACTCATCAAAAATATATAATTAAAACGCATTTATAGTAATTACTTTTTTGCAATAGCAATTTGGAATTATGGTTTCTAAAATAGTTTGGAGAACCTTTATAGTCCTTTTTACAAAAGTGTTACTCGTAATTTAAAAAGAGAACCGGTTTTAAATTGAAACAAGTTTTCTTATTTTAACAGAATTTCGCTTAAAATTTTAGAAACTTGTCCTAAGTCATTCCTAAATAATCCTGCAACGGGCTTCAGACCAAATCTGTACCATTTCTTCCACTCTCAGTTAATAAGTAAAAAAACCGGCTAAGTGCTAGTCGAACTCGCACACAAAGAGTTCCGTACCATTATCTATAAAAACTGCAATAAATCATTTCTGTTGTATGAAATACCCACTGAAACATTTGTATTCTGTTTTTTAGTATTATATCAGTAACAGAAATACATCATCTGTGAAAATTATAACTTTCTTACTATCACGTTTCATGAGATACAGCCTGGTGATAGATAGACAGACAGACAGCGGACTGTTAGTAATAGGGTCCTGTTTTACCCTTTGGGTATGGAACCCTCAAAACGATATGATGGGGAGAAGACGTGACTCAAGGCGAGAAAAACAAATGGTAACAGTATTGATAGCTGGATTTCAGTAAAGTTTTCTTTGTGACGTGTCGTTTTCTGTTAGCCAATCTGGCGGCTTTGACAGCTTCGGCGGAAAAGAATTCAGGTGTGATGTGTGTGCTCTCTGTTCACCATGGTCACGGCAAAAACTGAGTTGTCAAAATCACAAAACGTCTTGATGTCAAAGTTAACACGGGCTACCGTCAATTATCTATGTCTATTTGCAATACATTTTAATATTTTCAAAATAAATCCTAT